CATTCCAGATCTATGAAAAACCCCAATCTCCATGACCACGGGCATATCAGATTGATCCGCTGCATCCTAATTTACCCCGAATCAGATCTGGGATCCTATGTCGGCGTTGATATATACACTTGAACCAGATCTGCAAATCGAAACCCACGAACACCTGATGCGAGTAGACCCACCACGAGCAGAGACGACTGCGAACCGGTAGCGACCGCAATCACTCGATTTGCGAACAGACCCATAGCGTGACTCGAGCAGTGTACTCTCCTCGAACTAAATCTAAGCAGATCTGCATGAACAATGGCGCTGCACCACGAACTGAAACCAGATCTGGATTCCAATGTTGGACAGAATTGTGTGACCCGACCACAAGCAACCCAACAGCCTAAATGGGCAGTCACGAGCAACCCCACGTGGTTTTTTGTAAAATTGTTCAGATTTATTTTCATCTAAGGTTCGCAATTACTTTCAGATTGTTGGAAATAAAGGAGAATTTAGATGAAAAATGATTGTCTTGTTGTGTCGTGGACGAAGTCACTACCCTGAAAGCAATTATGAAAGCAATTATGGCACAACCATGGTATATGTTTACCAATCGCTCCCCAACTTCACCTAGGCGTACACCCTCCGACGCCGAATGGAATCAATAAACATTGCTTAGAAGGATTTTGTTTTTCTTAAAACAAAAAGAACTTCACTTATATAGAAACAGTATTCTATTTTTGGTGATTTTAAAATATAGTAAAATTAAAAATAGTATATTCTAAATATATCAACATTAAAAATAAAAATAGCTAGAAGACTAAGTTTTCTAAGGACATATTATTCACTCGGTTCAATTGCAAACAACTTTGATTTTGGAAATCCTCTTGCTCTCACCCTCACTTTCAGTGATACAATGAATCTTGATCTTTGTATTAAAGTCAATCCCGGTGATACACGCTCTCAGTGATACGTTGTAACGCTCTCAGTCCCGCTCTTGGTGAACCAAATTTCCATTACGAATATGTTGATCGTTCTGTTTCTCTCGCTCTGGTTCTCGATTTAATTTTTGGATACACCAACGACACTCAAAGCACAGAAAACGCTACATAATATGTGGTGACAATGACGATTCATCCAAATACAATGAAAATATATGATAACAGTTAAATCAAAAGCAGACAAAATAATATTTCCAAAGCCCTATCTATTTCGAAATCAACGAAAAATCAAAAGCAGACACCCCATCATCTTTATTAATATTTAGTCAAAATACAACCCAAATTAGAGATTAACGAACGAAAACACTGAAACTAGACCAACTGCAAAGCAAATGGAAAATTGATACACACCGTGCGTGCTCTGGAATAATTCTTTGAAGAATCGAGCAAATGGAAATCGTCGCCGAAGGGAATCATCGCCGGATACGATATGAAATTGAAGCCGTTCGTTGGAGAGAGCAGACGTGGTGAGCGTGAGTGGAAGAAAATAAAAAGAAAAGAAAAAAAGAAAAAAAGAAAAAAGAAAATTTTAATTGGGTCTAGTTGTGTTACTCAAGTTAGTGAAGGGGTAAAAATAGTCTACGGTTATATCAGTAAAATATTAGAAAATTTGAGTCCTCAAAGGAGGGGTAAAAATCAAATTTGTATTGGTAAAAGAGCTACTGAACTAAAAAAAATAGAGTTTCTATTATATAAATTTATTATAAATCAATGGTAATTTTTTAGATCAAAAGAAGATAATTAAATCCATATATATCTCCCACCAAAAGATAGATTATGAGCACGATCTCACACCTCACATATTGTCTTAAAAAATAATATTATTCTACTACCTCAATGATGGTTCCAATACATACACAGTTACAATATTTATATTTAACATTCTTATGGAGACTATGTTGGTATATTAATAATTCCAAAAGCAATCAAATTCAAGGCCGTCGGAAGAAACGTACCTCCAAAACTGCCCTTCTTCGTTTTTGTCCGAGAAATACCAAAACTGCCCTTCTTCGTTTCCCTCCTCCATGGGATTGGAGAAGCAGGTCACGTGCGACGTCTCCGACTCCATTAACGGGGTAGAAGAACAGCACGTGACCTCTTGTTCTGACTTCTCATCGGCTTTCTTTCCGCTCTTCTTGAAAACTCTGCAAATTACCCATTCATTCTGCATCCAACAACTAACCAAACCCAATCAAAAGGATCACCTGTGACTCTAATAATAATACAAAATTAACGAAAACTTTTTTGCTTCTTTGGTTTATATTGCAAATTTGCTTCTAGCGATTTGATTCTTATAATTTTTAAAATTTCAGATTTTGATCTTTACTCTCAATTTAATTTCTATAATTTAATTGAATTGTATCATAATCATGATTAAACCATTAAAGTTAAACTTTAAGTTAAGGAGTTTGGTAAATTTAAGTGATACTCTTGGTAAATTTAAGTGATACTCTCCCTCACTAATGGATTCCGATTTGGAAGTTTGTATAAGATCCAACACGTGGAAATGAATGTAAACGAGAGAGAGATGACAATTGAGTGGTTCAAACACAACATCTTGTGCTTGTTTGAAAATATGTTTTGACGTTTTTGCTTCGGGTGTGATTTCGAATTTAGTTCTATAATATGATTGAATTTCAACCTTCCAAATTCAAACGGAAATGTAATTATTGAGACTAAATGGAAATTTGAAAGGGTGTGTTTTGGACCTTGGCGGAGTTTGTTGGAAGGTGATAATAAGCAGAGAATTGGCCTTCCAATCTGTACTCATGCATGACCCAATTGGATTTGTGTCCTCGAGGGGCTCTGCCTTTGTAGAAAACCAGAGTCTTCTTCATCCCCACCAGCGTCTTCGCTTTGAAAATCTCCTTGTCTTTCCCGGTTGCCTTCCAGTAGCCGGCTTCCGTGGCTCTGTTCGTCCTCAATCCAGTTGGGTACTTTCTGTCTCTCACGCAGAAAAAGTACCACTCTTTCTCACCCATTTTAGCTCTCCCTGAAAAGCCCAATTTCGAAAGAAAGAAAAAATTAATTCGAAACCAAGGTAATTCAAAGAACATAATCTAATAATAATATAATATACTTACCGGGCAAGTCCCACGGCTCGCATTTGTTCAAATCGACTTCGGTGATGGCTGGGGCCGAGAAAGTGGGGGTGAGAACTTTGGGGCAGAGATAGTGAGTTATGAGTTCTTCGTCGGTTGGGTGGAATCGGAATCCCGGTGGTAATTCTAATTCCATCGTACCCTCTTCTATATCTCGTGAAACGAAAGGAAGAAGAAAAAGAAAAAGAGGGAGGAAGAATGCTGAAGAGCTTTTAAGAATTAATGTTCACAAGAAGATATATATATACGTATACAGTGGTGGAGGGAAAAATAAGACGGGCTTTGAAGAGACAGAAAACAAAAGGTTACTGAGAGGGAAAAAATCACATCCCAAACAAGCTGGCCGGTTTAGAAGAAGCCTCGACTCTCTCTGTCTCTCTCTCAACCTGACCAGGAACATTTCACCTACCCACAACTGATTTTTTGGTTAAAATACTATTTTATTACTTATATAGTGATTTTAAAAAGTACTATTTTTTATCTTAATTTTATTTTTAATCTCATTTTTCTATTTCTATTTAAACATGACACTATACCTTTAATATATTTCTTGAGATATAACCATGATTTTATATTAACAGGTTCTCTTATGTGTAGAAGGTGTAAAAAGAAATTTAAATAAAGATCAAAATGATTACTTTTTAAAAGTATAAAAATAGAAATGGTCACCTTTTAAAAGTATAAGGACCAAAACAAATATTTTAAAAGTATACGAGACTAAAATGAACTAAAGTTAAAAAGTATAGGGACCAAAATGTGCCTTTTGAACAAAGACCAGAATAAGCAAAAAAAATTAAAAGTACAGTGTCCAAAATAATATTTTTTAACATATTATTTAATACGTTTAAATATACTTTGATCTATGTGTTTGATTCATTTTGGTGGTTGTACTTTGAGAAACTCTATTTGTGTCCTTGAATTTTCAGCTTTTGTACATTTTAGTAACTCTATTTTTTAAAATTGAGCATTTTGGTCCCTTTAATTTCATTTTTATTTGGTCTCTTTTTATTATAATGTGTGCATGATACTTCATTCACAATTTTTTTTAAATACATCCATAAATTTGTATTAAAATATTTTATTTTATATGAAATTTATGTTAAAACTTTGCCAATATTTATCAAAATAGTCAAAAGTAGAAAGATATATATTTTACATGTACAGGGATGAAAATAAATAAAACCAAAACTAAATAAATCAAAATAGCATTTAAATCAATTTAACATCAAGTATGTTATTTTACTACTCCACATAAATGCAACTTGTGGGATATATGTCAGTTAGAGTTTTGAATTAGTTTCAATCTTATAATTTTAATTACAGTCCTAGTTTCATTATAATACTTATCTTTACTACACAATCCTATTTCTAACTTTTCAAATAGATTATATATTGTAACAAAAAAAAAAAAAAAGAAGATTATATATCAACGGGGTTAAGTCTTGGCCAAACATTTTTTTTTTAATTTTGATAAAAAAATGGTTTCTAATGATAAATGTTAAATTGAAGTGAATAGTTTAATTTGGTTATAATTAGGTCAAAAGGAAGAGTTGGAGAGAAAAAAATGTCATTGTGTTATGCTACCTGCCTAAATAAAAAGACATCGACTTTATAAGAGTATAAAAATATCTTCGTGTGAAAGATAGTTATGTATATATTATGGAAAAAAAGATATCCATATATTAATTTATTATTTACTTCATTTTTTTTTCATATTTATTTTCTTTAATTTATGTATAACTTTGAGTCTTTTCTGGTGTATACAATGTGTATGTGCGTGAAATTGAATTTGTCAAATTAGTCTGGACTGGGTCAAACAGGTGGTAATTTAACTTAAAACCTGAGGTATATTAACCTTGTACTAGCTGGAAGTTGCTGTTTGAATTATCATTCTATGTTTATCTTGATCTGAAATTTGTTACGTTGATTTTCTTTCTTTTTTTCCTTTTGTCTTGTGTTCGTCCAGGGTGTATTGCTTTGATCTCATGGCACGAGATCCTTTGTTTTTTTGTTTGATATATTTACCTTTGCAAAAAAACTAAACTTGAAAGAAAGAAAAATATTGGGACAAAATTTTCGTAATAGTATGGAAAAAAATGAGAATGTTTTCTTGTTTGAGGAAGAAAAATTATTAATTCTCTAGCAAAGATCAAACAAATGATACCGATAAATGGAAGGACCTAAAAAACAGAGTTAGCACCTCGACGCTCTAGTCAGTACTTATCCGATTTATATCTAGAAAGAATATAGTTTTGTGTACATGGTGGTAGAGGCGAAGATCTCTATTTATAGAGGTGAGCTCTCGACAGGGCTTCCGACAACGCTCTAGCGACTCTTCGACCGCTCAAGAATTGCGGCATATTGTCTGAGAACCTGTTAGGCATTTGCACCTGTAGATGCTCTTCAAGGTCGACTCGTCCCTTAAGAAGGTCGGTCAAGATGTGAAAGATGAGTTGGTTCGGCATAACTTGTCGATCAAGAATCTTTCGAACAAACGTCGTCTCATTCTTCTTTCATGTGAGAGAGTGATGACCTCTAATGTTCACCTCTGGCAGACGATAATTCACCTCCAAAATACAAGAAGCCTTTGTTTTAAAAAATATATTTTTATTTTTATTTTTATACTTTTTAAAAGACTTCTTTATTGAAATTTTAAAAATACTTCTCAATTTGTAAAATTCAGAAACAATAACCATGTTTTCAAAGTTGCTAATATTGTATATGTTGAGGATATAACCGAGCATGACGCATGTCCACCTTCGAGGAGGTGCAAGACCACATACATACCATATGAGGACACTGCCTAGCAGGACGTATGTTTGCCCTCGGAGAAGCACGGGACCACATACGGTTCCATACAGTGCCAAGTGGTAGTCGAGGACGCACGTCTCCGGTACGGGGGCACCCCTTCCAGCAGCAGGTGGAAAGGCTCAGAGCTGCAAGAGGTACCACTGCCCACCAGTTGTCGAGAACATACACCCAAGTCAGTCACTGTACTACGGGGCGTGCCCTGCCACCCCCAATAGTCGTTCTTCCTAGTTGGCCACCCAAGCCTACAAAAGGAAGGGGAATGACCCTCACCTTCATCAAGTAAGTGAAAAATCTGTCACTCATACTTAAGGTATGTTTTTCCTATTCCATACTCCGATTACTAACTTGACCATCTGGTTTAGGCGGGACACCGCACCGGCGTCGAGTTTTTTGTTACACGTCTTTCTGTCCTCAAGCAAAGCTACTCATCCTAGAGACACATGGCCTCCTCCCGGAATTCGTCATCATAAGTTGGCGCCCTCTATGTGAACGACGTTTTCAAGCTAGAACAAAAACTAGTTCTCCACACTAAGACATCACTAGAATGACTTCCAATATGAAATCATCCTCGAAAATACCATCGATGAAGAGTGTGGACGCGACAAACCCGTTGACAAGCCCGTTTCGACTCCCCCTGCACGACAGAAGGCTAGGGGAGCACGAGATGCTGCTAACCCCCTTCGCTCGACTGGCCAACTCGGCAAGCGAGAGGTGGGACACCCCATTGCAAGAGCTCGAGGTTCCACAGCAAGATGTGGGCCACTAATTCCCACATGGCCGCCCATATGGGGAAGTTGATCGAGGACGTCCTTGACAACCAAACTCGCGGGGCCCTCCTTCCTCCCAATGGCAGCACAATCGAAGGGGAAGTAGTTGAGGGAGAGTTCCGAGCCTCGTTAAAGGGGGGACTCACCAACGGGGACCCCTTAGCAGCACTCGGGCTCTCCGAAGGATTAAAAGACCTTCGGGATAAGCTCAACAAGAATCCTTTCAGGCATGAAGCGACCAGCTCCAATGTGGAATCATTCAGACCAGTACCAAGACGTCTAGTAGGCCGAGTGGGTCCTGAGTCGGGATCGACTAGGAAAATCTAGATCGAGTAAAGGAGGAAATCTTCGATCGGTTAAGAACCTAGCTTGACTATCGCTCATGAGCTATTCAAAACCAATATCCTGGTCGTGGAGCTCCCAAACGGATTTAAGGGCCCTGCATAGACAAATATGACGGGTCGGCTGATCCCGCTGACCACGCCACATCATACCACGATGTTATGCGACAGATCGAGAACAATAATGTCGAACAGTGCTGAGGTTTCTCCATAATCCTCATAGGCCCGGCGGCATGATGGGATGTGAATCCTGGAGTAGAAGCGGATCTTTGTTCATCAATTTTGAGAAAACAAAATCAAAGGTGCAAAGATGAAAATACGGGGGAAAATGTTTTCCCTTACTTTCGAAGAACTCTTCTTCAACGATCTAATCTCCCGAACATCACCAAATGATCTTCCGTGCTATCCTCTGGGTACCGAGATCGTGCTTGTGGGAGCGCTGCCCTTAGGTGCCGCGGTGCTGTACCCGGGTGTTTTTTGACGTGTTTTCGTGGCTCCAGTTTGCGGTTCTAGGGCGGTTGCGGTCATTTTCTTAATTTAAGTATTATTTTGCTTTCTTAGGCTGCCAAAATCCGGTCCAACTTTGCTATTTAATTATTTTATGCATTATGAATGTGTATTTTAATTAAAAGCATATTGCATATTCTATGCCATATAGTTTTAAAATCCCACCATAGGTTACATGCATAATATGTATGTTGATATATAGTATGTATGTATGATAATGAATCATATAGTTATAAATGTCATAATGTATGAATGCATGTTTTATTTTCATGATTAATATAATTGTTGTATTAATTAGATGAAAATAAAATTGCATTGAGCATAACATTACTTTAATTAATATAATTGTTATATTAATGTATGCTTACAATGTGTGATTATAGTTTTAATTCCTTAAATTTTATAAGAGATAAAATTTGGTAGATAGAAATTAAAATCTATAATAAATAATTGCATGCAAACATAGAGTCTAAGTTAATTAATTTTAAAGGGGTTTAAAATTAATTAGACCTTAGGTTATATCTTCTAATATGATTAGGGGGTAGTCTATTTTTTTTTTTTAAACTAGGTTTAAAATGAAATGATAAAAGACTAAATATAAAATATTGCCTATAAGGGAACCCTGTCTAAGGAAGGTTCTGTCTAGGTTGAGGTATTTAAGCTGACCGTAAGTGAACACCCTCTACCTTGGAACCGACCTGGGGTTTTAG